GATGCAGCAGTTGCACCTTTTAGCTTTTAGCTCAGGACCTTTAATGTAGCTAACAGCAGAGATCATTATATCAGTTTGTTCTCCTCTAAGAAGCTTTAAAGGGCGTTGAATTCATCAAATGGCTCTTATATGAAATTATATGTATATATGTACATGGAAACATTAGTATCGTAACACTTTCATTAAATTTGTCACCTTTCTCCGTACCTTACATATTTAATATGTTTGAAAAATTTGCTGTGTCCACTAGAATATAAAGTAATGGCCCATGGGTTCCAAACAATATTCGGCTGCACAGGAGGAGTTTGTGGCGTCACTCTAGAGAGGTGTGAGAACACTGAGTACAGACAGGGAGTGAGGGGAGATGGTGACAGGTATGACCTGCAAAACAAGTCACTGGACAAATGTTTGTTTTGGACCTGGGTTTTCTTGAGTTTTTTGGTCAAATTTTTATCCAGTCAAAAAAATGGTGTTGTTCTAGTCTGTGTCTCAGTTCCTGGTAATCTGTCAGTACTGAGCCTGTTCTCAAAGAACAGCAACCTTATTGGCAGACCTCGAGAACTCATGCACATTTGCAACAACATTTTTATTAAGCAGCTACAACAAGTGTTGGGATCTCTGGTGATCAAATGTTTTGGAGTCATGACTGACAGGATTACACAAGTGTATGTCTGTTACCTCTGAACCGCTGTTGTTCATCTTTTCCCCTCATAATCTATCTGGGAGAGTTTCACGCCCATCCAAACCCTGAAAACCTTCCAGCAGCCAGTCACCTCTTGACCCTTGTTGCCAGAAATAGCTTGTCCTCCTTTTCCAGTTTAATAAGCAAATAATTGTATGTGTAGGGCCTCAGAGAAAAGCCCTCTGTTGCTTTTTAAGGGTGGAGGGGCACAGAGAAGAGTGGAGTAAGAGCAATGTGAGTTGGTTTAAAATGCACAAACTTGCTTGTTAGTTCATTTGCTTTAATTTTTTTCTCGCTAATACAAATTAAGTAACAAAATTGGTTGAAGACCAGAGTATCTTTCGAAAAAAAAAAAAAATCAGCAGAAAGACGCCTGAATACACAGCAAAACTTGAAAGTCTTAAACTGTTCCCACCTCATCATTCAGGCTCATTCATGAGTTGTAATTCAGGTTGTAGTTGCTGAGGCAGCTGCCAGACGCTGCTTCATCACTTATAAAGAGTGAGCAAAGGGGACGTTAATCTCAATCAAGTTAAACACATTAGGCTCAGGCTGTAATATCAATTTTCCCTAGCAAACCATCAGCAATTAGCTTACGACATTACTGTGTAACAGACCAGAAGGCAAAACATGCACTCTGTGGTAGACATGGCAGTCAGGCTGGGGAGTGGGGTGTAGGATTAGCAGTGAATGAAAACAAACACACGCAGACACACACATACACACACATACACAACACGCAGACACACACATAACCACACATACACAACACGCAGACACACAGGTTTTCAGGATCAGGCTCAGGGGAAGGCTTGGTTGGATGTCTCCCTGACAGGCCTGCGTGTTGGCTGACTGCTCACTGCTGGAGCGCTGAAGGACACCATCTCTCCCCATCTCTGTTGCTGTAGTGTTTTGAGCGTAGAGCCTTGATGCCTCACAAGTTGACTAAAATTAAAATTGCAGCAGCGTTTCCAGGAGCCATCGAGTTTCCTGAACATCACAGATGTTTAAGAAGTGAGACAGGAATTAATGCATTATCTAATTCTTTTCCACAAGCAACTTGATGGAGATATATTCATCTGACTGTGGCTCTGTCTGAAACAAATAATGTAACCACTATGCTATTCGAGCTCTGGAGGCCAGGATCACTGTATTGGAGACTCGGCTTCGTACCCTTGAAGAACCCGTAGCTACCCAGGCCTCTGTAGCCGGTGCATCCAAAGGTAGCGTAGGCTCCGGAAGGGCCCCGAGCAGCCGGGGAAACAGGATGGCTGGGTGATGATGAGGAGGAAGCATAGTCTTAAACAGAAGCCCCAGGTACACCACCAACCTGTTCATGTGTCTAACTGCTTTTCCCCACTCTGCGACACACCCGTCGGGGATCAAACTCTGGCAATTGGCGATTCTGTTCTGAGACATGCGAAGCTGGAGACTCCAGCAACCATAGTCAATTGTCTTCCAGGGGCCAGAGCAGGCGACACTGAGGGAAATTTAAAACTGCTGGCTAAGGGTAAACGTACATTCAGTAAAATTATAATTCACGTCGGCAGTAATGACACCCGGTTATGTCAATGTTTGTAAAGACCCTTTGGCTGGCTTTCTGATTTTCTACATCTGAAGATATTCATCAAGAAGTGTTTATCATAGATTCCGACCGTGTAAGTAATACTTTATACTTTGTTACAAATATTTGGGGAACATCATGAAATGTAACATCCCCAGTGAGTGTCCT